TCTATTTGCGCGTAGCGCTGCTGTGCCGGCGTTAGTGCTGCTGATGCGTATGCCACTGGATGTCCGTCCTGCAGAAGGATGCTGCCAATTCCATACGAGCTGGCGTCGGTTGATATCACAATTGGTCGCGAAGCATTAAAGTAATGCAACACTGGAGCAGTGGTCAGGTTGTCTTTGATCTCGTTGAATGCATTGGACATCTCGCGAGCCCAGTGCCATGCCACGTCGGACTTCAGGAGCTCACGCAGAGGTTGCGTCTTTGTTGAGAAGTTTGGAATAAACTTCATAAGGTATGTTGCCATTCCGAGAAATCGCAGGAGCTCTGCCTTGTCATTTGGTGGTTGTAAGGCCTGGATTGCCTTTACCTTTTCAGGGTCAGGAGCAATGCCTTCTTGGGTAAGCTGGTGACCAAGGTAGGTTACTGTAGACAGTCCCAGCTTGAGCTTGTCCTTGTTTAGCTTCAGATTGTTGTTGCGTGCTATTTCAAGCACCTTTCGCAGATGGGTTGCATGGTCACTCTGCGTTCTAGAGGCTACCAAGATGTCGTCAAAGTACGGCATCACTATGGTTTGGCGCTCGAAGATTCTGTCAATGGCTTGCTGAAAGAGCTCTGGAGCTGTGCTGAGTCCAAACGGAACTCTGAGGAACCTGTACCGACCCCAAGGTGTGGCAAATGTGCACAGGTACGAGCTCTCTTCATCAAGAGCCAGCTGCCAAAATGCACTTTTGGCATCAAGCACTGAAAACACAGTGCACCCAGATAGCCGCGCAAAGAGTTCTTCTGGAACTGGAATGCGGTAGTGCTGCCTCTTAACTGCTGCATTTAGGTTTCTTGGATCCAGAAAGATCCGCACATTTCCATCCTTCTTTGTGATGATGACGATGGGATGAACCCAGTCAGTTGGTTCTGTCACGGCCTTGATAATGCCATTGTCCTGCATTCTTGTGAGCTCGGCAGTCGGCCTTCACAGTTTCTTCGAGTGCACTTGGCACCCGGCGAGGGGCAGACACCGTAGGCTTTACATCCGGTTTCAGGCGAATGCTGTATTCTCCTGGGAGTTTGCCGATGCCCTTGAATACTTCTGGAAATTCTTGAAGTATTTGTTCAAAGTCCGGAGCAGGATGAGAGGCTTTATTTGCCACTTCGATGTGCCTCACTCGATGCAAAAGGTTTAAGGCTGTGCACGCAGCTGCTCCAAGTATGGGCTTGAGATTTCCCTTCACAAGCAAGAACTTGACGTTGGACTGGGCGTTCTTCACAGTGCAAAGGAACTGGCACTCATTTTCTATATCAAGCTGCTCACCCAGATACGTTGTAACCTTTGCTTGAGTCTTCTTGATAGCTGGATGGGGTTCCCATTTAAACACAAGCTGCTCTGGAAGTATGTTGACATCGGAACCTGTGTCCAGCTTGAAATTCACTGGGTTGCCGCTGACGTCGACAGTCTGAAGCCAGTCGGAGAGTGAATCTTCTGCGATGTCGTTTACGGTCAGGCTGCCCAGACCAAAATCTTGAACAGTCACTTCTTCCTCCACGTCTAGAGTTCGGACGTGTCGCGGTGCCACTCGCTGTTTCTGTCGGCATAGCTTTGCAAAATGTCCAAACTTGCCACAGGCGTAGCAAGTGGATCCGTAGGCGGGGCACTGTCGGGGCAGGTGAGTGGTTCCACACCTACTACAGCTTTTCTGGAGCTTGGCTTCTCTATGTTGTGGATGGTTGCTTCTTTGTTTATATTGGGGCTGTTTTCTCGGTTGTTGTCTGTTTTCCTGTCGCTGTCTTCCGCAGTTCAAGTTGTCGACCGTCGCCTCTTGCCTATCGGAGGTCGTCAACAGCGAAGATACGTGCTGCTTTGAAATTTCAGCCGCTCTGCACGTCATGATGATCTTTTCGAGAGTAAGGTTCCTTTCCCGAAACAGCCGCTCTCGCAGAGCTGTGTCGCGAATGCCAATGATTATCCTGTCGCCTAGGAGGCGGTCGTGCTGGTCGCCAAAATCGCATTTCCTCGATTGGCCTTGTAGCTCAGCGATGAAGTCGTCAATCGGCTGATTTTCTTTTTGGCACATAGAGTTGAAAATAGCTGCCGCCTGCGTCACGTTTTTGTACGGCAGATACTTCTCATCGAACTTCGCAAAGATAGCGGCCACTGTGTCTGTTAGAGGCTCACCAGTTGCCGGAGCTGGAAAGACGAATGTGTCGACAATTTTCCGTGCTGCTGGGCCGATGACGTGTAGCAGGAGCGCTCGCCTGGTTGCTGGGGGCTTGTCTGTATACTCGCAGGCTGCCTCATAGAGTTCCTATGCCGTCTTCCATTCCGACCACGTTTCGGCGGGGTTGCTGCCTGGTTCAAACGGCTTGGGCGGTTGGATCAGGGGAAACGCCATGGTGATACAGTTGTTGCTTTACTGTAGTTGTTTCGGGGAGTTGCCGAGTTGCGAAATTTTAACTTCTGACACCATGTTATATATTGAATGTTATCGATTGAATCAGACCCAGACCCATGGATTCAGACGGGCCGCCAACATGTGTGTGTCCCACACAGCTAGGCCTGACTTTTATTCACGAGGGCAAACCGCCACTAAGAGGGCGCCACTAACATGTCGATATATATATAACAGTCATCCTACATGCTATAGATGCCTATGGCTTTTCCTTTTCTGTCTTTAGCAATTTATCTGGTATGTTGCTCTATGGACTTTCTTATGGCTCTCTTTAACCAGCACAATCTAAAAAAAATGTAAGAAAAAAAGATTTTTAATTTTGACTGCGCACTGATAATTAAAAACGAGCGTCTTGGTGAATAGATAGGAATACTTGAAAGGATAAAACATCGAGGACGGGGACGGAAACAGAACTTCTTTCATTGAGCAACAACATAGAATGTTGTTACTCAATGAAAGAAGTCCTTTTTCTGTTTCCGTCCTAAACGTTTTATCGTTTCAGGTATTTCTATCTACGCACTGCTCTCGACTGAGAACGAATCGTGGCTTGTAATTGCGCTTTTGAGTCGATCCACTCGCTCATGTCGCCGTTAGAGCACTTCCGTCTTTCAGTCAAATAACAAAATCTGTTTTAGCACGTTTTCGACATGTGAGCACGCAAAGCAAGTACAGCGAGGAGCATCGCACTTTGCGTAGTCCTGAGCAACGAAAACAACATCGGGAAATTTAAAATACGCTGTTGCCAGTGTTGTCCGGCGCTCTCTCCGTCTAAACAAAACCAAAACAACAAAAACAAACACTCGGAGCGCAGCGAAAAGCAGCGACCGCCATTAAAAAGACGCGCATGTGGCTAGACGTTTCCGTCAACCTAAAATTGAAAAGCTATAGCAACATTGGTTTTCGTCTTTATCATGGCCGCCCCCACGGAGCTCCGCAAATTGGGAAGGGAATGCATTAGAACGCATAAGATAAAGCGGCAAGTCCCCCGCCCCTCTGGTCTGGACTCTGGGACCACGGAGAAGAGAGTGAGCGTAACTCAAACCGAACAGTTCTCGATCGGCGGTTTTCGGGCGGAAAGAAAACGAATTTCCAGCCGCCATGTGTCCTGGTAGTTTGGCTCTCATATATCATGTACAAATTAAAACTCTATAGCGAGCATCAATACCCTGCAAATATCCGTTTAATCAGCGCATGCATGAGCAGGGGTGTTACCTTGGTGTTTTCAATATTTTTCATCTGTACTTTTGTCGGATAGGGTTGACTTATACTATGTTAACGTGTTTGTACTGAGCATGGGAATTCATTTCTGTTTGCTCAGCGGGGATTTTGAACATTTGTATTTCCTTTTAATGAAAAGTGTAGAGAGTGAGGATTGGGTTTTATTTCAAACCATGCTATTGCATCTTGAAGTGGTTTCTTTTTGAGTAGACTTTTGGAACTTGCGATTTGGGTCGTTAAATAGGCGCATAGTTCTGTCCACGTCAGACTTAAGTTATGCTTCTTTTGTAGGCTGTGCCTCCCATTGCAAATCCATAGGACCCAACCTAGCTGCTATCAGGACAGTTCTCAATACCCGTCATTCCCATACATTGCAATTACGCTGTTTGCTTTTATGTTATGGGTTCGATTAGTTTTAGATTAAAGGACATCCTTAAAGGGATACTACAACGAAATTTCGGCGCTCATTTTTTGGTCTATACATGTTCAAAGGAGCAGCATCACATCGAACATACCTATATCTTGTTAAAAGTCACGAAAAGGCATTTTAAAACGAATTAAACGATTAGCAAAGAGCACCTGGTGGATGTCGCTAACGCCTCGCTTGTAATGCCCGTCTAGGAACCTTGACAGCTAGTGACGGAGGTTGTCTCGCCTCCGGCCACGACGAGAGAAGAGTGGAAGGAGGAACTCCCCTCTTCCCGAGAATGCCTTTTGTGTGTCGCAGAAGGCGCTATTGTCCCCCTACAAGATTACAGAAGATTAACCCGTCACTCAAAATTCGTACAAAAGCAGCCGCTTCGGTTTCTGGAACGACTAGGCCATCCTCTCGACGTCAGCTTCGCCGTAGCTTTGCTCGTCCTGAGACGACCTACGTGACAATTGCGTTGGATGGCACGTGGTCTCCGCTGGGCCTTCTCGAAGCGCTTGCCAGAGTGGGCCATTTATAACGAAAAATACAGCCACCAGGCTCAAAATACAAACGTGCGATTGTCATTTACGGATATTGTGGATCATATTCAACCTATTTTTGAACACGACGGGAATATTTCAAATTTCGTTGAAGTATCCCTTTAAGAACAGCTGTGGAACGTCACGTGGACATGCTTTTTCGTTGTGCTATTTTTGTATCTAAAGAAACAAGTCTGCACTTGTAGCCCCAGTGAGTTACCAGCTCCAAGATTCACTTCAACTGCTACAAAACCCTGGTATTGCTATGTGCTACGAAAAGTTGAAGCTCGCTTGCACCCCTGATAAAAGTGTCGTCACATCAAATGACTTTTGGAATATTGTTTTATTTTATTGATTAGCAGATGCCGAGTGGTGCACGATCCATTCCTCCTCCGTCCTCTGTAAGAGTTCTTCCGCTTGCTTGTTGCCTGCAAGTGTTGCAGAGATGTGTGCCTTTATTCTTCATAACAGTACCCATTTATTCATTTATAATTGCAGCATTATGCGGGAATTATCCAAGGGTAACTAGGGTACATTTTCTCGATGTTAGGGTTACGACGGTTTTTAGTGAACTAAGTGTCTCTAAATTACAAAGTGTCCGTTTTTTTAAATGTTTTGTGTAGTTTTGTAGATATCCTGCCTCAAAGTTTTGCTTAGGGGTCTACAGCGAAGCGGAAACTATACCGGCTCGAGTGTGATGGCAACCCTTGTGATCAGCTGCATGGCGCAAACCTGCATGTGTGACGCAAAGTTCGAGTTGCGGTACCACAAAACGAACAACAGTCCTAGTCGCAAGAGCAGGTCCGATCAGTCAGGTAAGGGCTGTTTTACTGCTTTGCTTCGCACATATCAAACAGCTCTAGCAAATATTAATACAAATTCCTAAAGTTGCCGGCCGAAAAGCGAGTTTGTCGCGATGAAGGCAGGCTCAGAACGAGCCCCCACTTATCTTCTGAGAAGAACTATAATCCTGGTGGTGTGCAATGCACGCTGCAGAAGGGATGTGGGCGCTAATCGTAAGTTCGCGCTAAGCAGGATATCAAACTAAACTGTGGCCGCTGGTGAATGCCACCTTCGGCACCACGACGGGCTTAAGATAGCAGGGAGTCAATACCCTCCATGCGCGATTGCCGACGAGCACCTACATACATGATTCCAAAACCCCGAGACTGCAGGTAACGACACACAAACACACTCAAAAGTGTGTCGGGACCTACAGTCTCGGGGTTTTTGAATCATGTTTAACATACACCAGATCGTTGGGCCTTTACATTTATTTCACTTCCAAACTACGCGCACTAATATATGACATGAGCAGAAATTGTTTGCCGCTAGGGGCGGCTAAAAGCGCCATAGAAAGACGTGACAAATGAAGTGACAGTACGAACAAGTAACATTGACTACGAAGATGACACCAGGGGGGCTATGTTGCACGTTTTGGACTCCCAGGAGACTAGGGAGATGGAAGTGACGTAGGTGTGAATGAACCAACGAGGTATCCTCTGCAGATACCGTCATCAGAGACTCCACCAATCAACATCCAAAGAGCGTTGTTGACGTCACTTCCTTCTCCCTAGTCTCCTGGGAGTCCAAAACGTGCAACATAGCCCCCCCAGGGCACAAGGTTGCTTGACAAACAGCCAAGTTGCTGAATGCCCGCTGAGAAGCTGGTGGTAACATTTTTAATACAAGTTGAAGAGGGGATCGCGGTTTCCCATTAGTGTAAGATTTCGGCAGTGCTCGTATTTACTCCCAGTAAATCAATATCGGTCATTTGCTTTAATTCGACTTTGATCGAAGTTGCCGTTTGAAAGGGGGAGGAGTGTGTTCACAGCGATTGGAGACAGGGTCGGATTTATGGGTCAGACCGGGAGCGGGGGGGGGGGGGGGGGGGGGGAGAGACTCTGCTGAGATATGACGTTACGGTCGAAACGTTGCCCGGTCCACTTGTTGACCCAATATTTGCTATGTCACCAAAAACTAAACTTTTGACTGGTGTATCAATGATTGTAATTTAAAAAAAAAAAGTTGACCTGGGGACCTTAGGAGGGGGCATTCGTCGTCGCCCCCCCCCCCCCCCTTTCCTCTAAATCCGCCCCTGACTGGAGATGAGTAACATGAATACATGAACAGCAAGTGCCGCTGCCCAGGATTTTTCCACAGAAAAGAAATTAGGAAAAGCAATCTGCTCCACAAATGTATTCAAAATCATGTTTTAAGTTAATGAAACGAGCAAAGGCGCACGCTGGCTGAAATGATAAGGCACCATTATCAGTTTTCAGTATTATAAGGAACAAAATAATAATAAAAAAATCTTAACTCTTATAGGTAAAACACGAATTAAGAACGTAGTTTGAGGTTGAAGTATTTTTAGTTTAGTCAAATCGGCTACGTGATTTGAATCCCAAATTGCATCCGTCTTCTAACGGCTTCGCCTTCCCCTCCCTCTCGACCAATGTACCCGCCCCCCTTTGTGTGATGCGTGTGACCTTTATTTGTTTCTTGCCGTTTATTATTTTTTTTTATCACTTGAAGAAGGGCGTACGCCCGAAACGTTGTGTATTCCTTTCCGTCCACGTTCTTGTTTTTTTAGAGTAGCATAATCAGACATCTTTTGCGATTTCGTGTTCAGGATCATGGTGCTCGGCAGCGCCCAAATTTTCTTGGATATGGTAAAAAAAAAAAATCAAAAAAAAAAACCGACACCATAACGGAAAAAAAGAAAATATATATGAAATATGCATTTGTGGCACAAGTAGTTCGGGTAAACTCCTCATAACGCAAAGATCATTCTTATAAAGCTCTGGTCTCGCATTCGAGGCACTTAACATACTCTGCCTCATTTCTTCGTCCGAAACGAATTCATATTTAACTCGAATTCTGCTCGCTTGTCTCCATTCAGTCAGCTACTCTGATATTGTTTGTTTGTTTTGTCTTTGCAACATAGTACAATTGTAATAAACATATTAAAAAAATCTAAAGACTTCTTCTGTTCTCTTTTTAAGATCTTTTTTTATGGGTAACTCTGAAGGGTGCGATAATTGTTTGATGTCTTAAATGCTCTTTTTATTATTGCAGTCTCTCTACTTTTTTATCTTTATGATGGCACCATTGATTACCTTGTAAGCGTGCCAAGCTTGCGGGTGTTGCTCCTTGGCGGTTCCGAACGCAAGGATCGGCTCCTAAAATCGAACAGAACAGAGCGTGTACGCATTTGGTCAATGACAGCAGACATACGAGGGCCGTCCGAGAACTCATGAGGCTGCCTCTGTTACTCTTTACAAGGGCAAAGACGGTCTACGCTGTGCCAGTGTTTGCGAAAGTCGCACGTCCACGTGTCTGAACCTGCAGTTGGACCGCTGTAGTCTTCAGCGTTCTGTCAAAGCGAGTGCAACTTCGTACACGTCGTCATGGCAAATGAAGACGAGCTGCCTGTGTGCGGTAGAAATGTACAACTGAATTTCGTGTGAAGCATAGAAAAAGCTGTTTAAACAAAAACAAAAATGCACGGAATGAAGTTTTTTGTCGCGCTGATGTGAAAATGTCGTGGTTGCAACGCTAGAAATACTGTCACAAAATGTACTTTTACTTTTATTTTGGGCTTTTCTAAATATTTTAGTATATTTATAACAGAAGAAAACTGCAAAAACCACACACAAGGACAATTAGACGAAATTCACTAACATCGCGCTGATTTACGACTTCGTTTTATTTCTCATTTCCAATACTAGAAGCTCTCATAAAAGTTTCAAACAGGCAGACAGGACAGCGCCTGTCCTGCCTGTTTTTCTCTACCGTGTCCTTGTCTTTGGTGCGCTGTTTATCACCATGTTCCCAAAGGATGTGATAGTAGGAATAGCAAAATCGCTTTTAACTTAATCTTTACCGGGAAACACACGCGGGGAGAAGGAACGTTCTTCGCATTGTTCGCAGGCGCCGTTATCATCCATTATGCGGTTTGCACTTCACACGAGGGCTTCGAATGACGTCAATTCCCCTTTCGAAGCAGCTGCAAACCTAATCTTTACCGGAACGAGTGGGAGGCTGTTCCTAGTCTTCGCACGCGCCTTATCATTCATCATGTGGTTTTGATGCTTGTTTTGTTGTTTTCTTCATTGAAACAAATACTGAGCTGTATGCGGTATGCCTGATTTCAAAGGAGATATGCTGTTCTGCCTTCAATTGTTCGCCGGAAGTTTTTCGCTTACAACGCCAATGACACGAAAATTTCCTTGATGGTAGAGGTATACAGCTTCGCTGTAAAAAAAAACTACCCACTTAGAAATACCCCACTTTTCTTACGGAATGAGTCTTCCACCAGTGACATAATTGCTAAGGCACTCACACACTCATAATTTGGTGTGATAAAAATTAGTCTTAAGTGGACGTCGGCTCATAGATAATTTTTTTATATCTTTTGATTCAGGTAGCGGCATGTGCTCGAAGTTTCGCATTTTATCATCACCACGAGTGTCCTATTCTCGCGGAGTTTCGGCTTGCTCCATGGCCTAGCTTATTTCTGCGGGAACAAAAAAAAAAAAAAGATTTTATTTTCTCGATCGAACCCTATGTATTTGGTGGCCGTTTTCACGCACCATGTGAAAGTAAAAAGGAAATCAGGTTCGGGTTCCCCTTCCAGGCGCAGAGATGGAGAGGGGTGAGCCCCGCTTCGTTTTGTTCGTTCACGTCGCAGCCTGCGTGAATGGGAAACGATAAACTTTCTATCTGCCACAAAAAATTAGAGGACAAAAATTTACACAGCGTTTGGGAACTGATCAGAATGTTACTGAACAGAGTGTTACAAAAAAATGTTAAAAGGACCCTCAAAAAAAAAAAAAAAAAGTCAGATACATTTAGTGTTTTGAGATTGTTGTCCCTTTAACGAAAATACGTGTACCGTATTGCCTGGGGACAAACATAAAAAGCTTTGCTCAGATAGTCCGTATCCGATGCGTGATTCGCACGCAGTGCCTAATTCGAACGTAAAAATTATAGCACACCTTGGCGACTGCGTGCTGTATTGGTTTACAGAGACGCTCGTGTCATACATAAATAAACCATATTTATTCGCGCTCATGGCGTTGGCAGCAGCCCTTAGTGCACGAGAGCTTGTGCCACCGACACGTGCCCTAAAGCAAGGAGCTCGCGCTTGTAGCCTTTCCTGCGCTGCATCATAAGGTGATATAGAGTATAGCATCCGCTGAGGGCCCTGTACATGTAGGTTGCCAGTTCCCCTCGATGTTTGAGACTGACCGCAAAAGTCAGCCACTCCCAGGTGTAATGGTATGGTTGTTCCGGGTTATGAGGGCATTCCCACTGAAGGTGCTCCTGGTCGAAAGGGTTAAGGCGGTGGGAGAGAAGAGGGAGGGGGGCATCTGAGGTGCGGCAGAGTAAGTGGAGTCAGCCGCAGGTAGGCTGAGGATGGGGAGGAGGGAAAACACAGCAGGAGGCAAGCAGGTCGTCTAGGGTTGAGAGAGGACGGGGTTGGGTTTGAGCCGCAGGCGTCAGCAGGGGCCCGGAGGAGCATTTCGCGGGAAAGCTGATGAGCGTGTTCGTTCCCGGCAACGCCAGTGTCACCAAATATCCAATGTAGGTGAATAGGCCCTCTAACATTGCATGTGCAGAGGAGAATGCGACGCCCTGAGCGAGGTGAAAGCATGCCGACTTCGAGTCCGTGTAGATGTCAGCGGTGCAGCCGGGGGAAGAGTTGTGAGCGGCAGCTAGTGCGAGAAGTTCAGCTTCGACGGGAGAAGCGCGGTGCTGTGTAATAAAATGGTTACTGCCGTGTAAAGTGGTTGGATGGATGAATGAATGCTAATGGTTGTACCCTTTATAATGGTCGGTAGCTTGCGCCCCCTAGCGTAGACACCAAACGTATGATTCGTCCCCTCGCCCTTCTAAACCAATTTGTTCCCCCTCTACACTTCTCTAAATATCACTAGGCAGTGTGGTATATCGGGGATCGGGCAGAAAAAAAACTAAAAACATCGCTCCCACCCCTTCCCCCGGCTTCCTTCCCCCGGCGAGGGAATCGCCAATTTTCCTCTTGTCAAACCTAGTCAGCAACAGCTGAACACCGGACCCAATGGGAGACAGAACTGATACTTGAGGTCGGAGCCACGCGGGTGGGAACGCGAGTGCACCAAGGTTGCCTTGAAAGGCTGCGTCGGTGAAAACATGATAGTTTTCGGGTTCTTGAGCAATTTTCTTGGTGTAGTATGCAGCGCGAAGGAGACGGTGGGTGGGATTGCTTTCCCACGGTGACGTGTTGAAGGATTCTGTTGTCTTGGGGAACCGGGTGAGGCCGTGGAGGACGAGGTGGCCCGTAGCGGTTAGCGAGAGGCGTTGATGTTGATGAACGCGATGAGTATGTCAGTGATGTCGGAGACTGTGAGTAGAACGCCGAGTTGGACCAGTCGGGCGGTACTAGTGGTGATGGGGAGATCCAGGGCGATCTTCGCCTTACGAAGTGTGTGCGAGGGATACATATGGGGCTTGATAGCACATGCTAGATATTACGAGGGCGTCGCGAAGTCTGAGGAGGTCTTGTTCTTTGAGACCCCTAGTACGTGTTGCGAAGCGGCGCATCATGTTGAGGATGGGTGCAGCCTGGCGGAGGATGTGCTGTACGGCGACTGCGCCTCCCCCGTCGGGTTGTGAAGGCCCAGGACGACCTTCGAAGGTCTTCTGAGGGCGAATGTGTGAGCGAGATGCTGGAGGGTGCCAGTGGCGGGAATGGATGAGGGACAGGGAAGTTTTTTCGAGAGGCGAGACCAATAGTGTGGGCTGCTTGTTCGACAGCTTTGAGGGCAGCCTGAAAAAAGTATTTTGTCCAGAGGCCCTAAGCTGGACACTAGGCCAAAACGTCGGCGAGAAATCTGGCGGCCGCGGATGGCCAACGCCACACTTGACCTTGGCGTCGGCCAATCATAGCCGCCGGTTTTCTCGCCGACTTTTTCGCCAAGCGTCCAGATTAAGGCCCCGGGACTGCCATTGATTAAAGCAGATAGTGACATCACAGCGTAAATGAGTACCGGTTGTCAGGAAGGGTTTGAAGGGCACGGTGGATACTGCGCATGGCGAGACCCAATGATGTTGGGGACAGGACACCCCCTAAGGGATGCCTCTCTGTGGGTGAAAAACTGCATAGAGCTTATGTTCGCCGATTTGTGTGGTAAGGGTTTAAGCGATTCAGACGAAGAAGTGATACTTTTGGCAATTGAAACGTGTACGTCTTGACAAGGTAACGTACCGTAATATCCCAAAAGATTCCCCACCCACCAAAGATAACCCACCCTATATTTAACATGATTTGCTACTTTCGTTTTTTCAAGAACACCGAGAAATAGTTTGCTTCTAGTAATTGGAGTGCCCCGCCATTGATGACCTTGGCCGACAGTTAGTTAGCTACGGCAAAAGATAAGAAAACGTTGCTGACTTGCTCGATCGCCCCCTCCATGTGAAAATAACTTTGGCAGGTGGACAGAATACAGAAATGTCATTTTTTATTTTATTTTCCTCCATCGCGCACCAAAAGCATACCTCCCCCTCATGTTTATCCGATCTGCTCCCGCGTTTAGGTGTGCTATCCGCGACTCCAACTAACTATAGGTGGCGCCACTCATTTTCCAAGATGGCGGGTTTAGTGAGGGTCAGAAATGCGTGCCGCTGTTGAGCCTGTCTAGTGTGCTGGCTTCACTGAGCGCGACATAAATTATTTCTGGTAATACGAGGAAGCTAATGTTTTATGAGCGCAGGTTACCTCTTTAACCTGAAAACAAGAACGGTGTTTAGCGTATTAATTACGGAAGGATGCGCGTTTTAATTCTGGAGCGAAACCGAAACTTGCCTCTGTTTTGGATTTAATTTCTCGACAGAGGTCTTAATTTCGGATTCTTTCATGACTCAAGATGTGTCTCACATCGTAATTATTTACTTAGAAAAGTTGATCGCGGAAACTTTATTTTTGTGACATACTGTTCGATCCAGGCTGATATTCGTAGTTGAAAAAATCAGTGCTGATATCTGTGCGTTCTCGCTGCCTTTTTCTCGCTCAGATAATTGTCATGGGAAATAATGACAATTATCCCACCACAAGAATAAGAGAATAATTCCAATTTTTACAATATGTTCACGAAACACATAAACTAATAAACGCTGCTCTCACTGCAACAACCCAAGACGGAATCCGAGTCAGAGAGCTGAAGTGTGTGTGTGTGTTTTTATAGCACCGCGTGACGCGTAGGACTTCATATTACATGCAGCGTTTAACTGTTTGTCTATCTTGATAACTATGTCAAAGTTTTTCATATGCTAAAAAAAAACAAACAGAAATATACCTTTCTGGAAAGGCTATTATGGTTAAATAGAGTATTCTGGTGATCTTGACGTTAATTAGAGGTATACATTGCCGCGATTTGTATCAATAATAATAATATTAAAATTCACAAATTTGAATCAGTAATTCTTCAAGCTCTAATATAATTTGTTGCTCATGATCTAATTTTAAACGCGCGAAGAATTATGACAATGAAAACTGTGCTAATTATCATCACTGGTTCCAATTGCTGCATTTTAATTACAAATAAAATAAAAACAGTCTAAAATCAATGAAAACATTCTAGCTAATGTGAGAAATCCATGTAAAATTACATTAATTGTGGGTAAAGTATATTGTGCTATCAAAGTCGCGACTTTTGTCAATCGCCAAAACGTCCAAAGTCGCCGCCAATATACTTCCAGACCAAATGCCCAAAAGTAAAAAAAAAAAAGCCCTTTTAATTACTAGTTTTTTCATAACATTTATTTACTTTTGTATTTGCTCGCCGTCGTTTTGCCAATCTCAGCCTTTCCAGTTCGAAGGAACGCCTTCCTGCTTGCATGTTTGCTCACTGCAGCCGCTTCGTTGGCGTTGGAAGCCGGTGAAACAGTAGTGAGTTTTAATATTGCGTATACGAGCGAACTCAAGCCCTGTGTGTTTGCGTTAGCTTTGCACGTTCCACACTGCGCGTGCGCGGAGCCCGAAATTGCGGTATTGGATGGCACATGGCGATGAGGCGCATGCACAACGTGGGGCACGCAAATCTAACGCAAACGCACACCGCTTGCGTTTGCTTCTATGCGCAATACTAAAACTCTCCAGTAAGGTGCAATCCCATACCGGCTGCAGCACTACGTTGGGACAGTGAAGAGTGTTGTTTGCATTCGGAAACGACATTTCGCGAGCCATGATCGCGAGCAGTTCCGCCATGCTCGCTGAGCAGAAGAATCGGGGGACCCTCACTAGAGCGCTTCCCGTTTCCGCCGCGGGAGGGCGAGCGTCGAGCTGGAGACGCGATATCTAATCTGAAATGCATCTGAATATATCTCGATTCTCCGCATAAATTAAGGTGGGAATACGCCTTATGCAAAAGTATCGGTAGCTATCATCATCATCGTGCTCCGGGAGACGCGCCGCCATGTTGGGGGGTTGCGGTCATCTTGCTATCCCTGCGTACTGTTGCATGACCGGTTAAGTTGCGTTGATTTTAACTTCGTATTTGTAGTTATTCATTGTTTCGATGGCGTCGGACTGGTCTCGCGACCTTTCCGAGTTACCAGAGCTCCCCGATGGCTTCGTAGACGCCTACTACGAGTCGAAGACGACATCGGAGAGGCACAAGAATCGCA